CTTTCACTTATCACACATTTTGCGCCAACATTTCTCCTTCCACGTCTTCCTTCCCTCCTTTGATGTCCCCTTATGTACTCTCATACTCGAGATCCCACAGTTCCTACTTACTCCTTCTTACCTCGCCCCTCACTTGCTCCCCAATTCCTCATCGCACACCTCTCCTATTCTCTCCTCCCTTGTTTTTCTCCTCACCAGTTCTTATGCCCTACAACTGAAGGCGTCTTCGAAAGTGCTGTGCAAACTTCCAGATTGACCACTACATCGTCACATCCAATGTGGCAAATGGTGTCTGCTCATAATCAGTACATTGTGATGAAGGAAGTCATGAGGAAGGAACCATGGCAGTTGCACGTAACGATCCAATCTATGCACTAGCTAAGGAAGAAGTCGTGCCAATGACAGCGGCTGTGAAATGGTACACACAAAACTGCCGATTGTCTGTGCGGAAACACTGATGTCCACAAAATAATCTGCAGGCAATAAGAATTTGCATTTCTGGGTGACTTGGCTGCGTTCGCCTCTGGGGAGATTGTGGGTGATTTATTCAATGTGGGTGTTGTGACCATTAATTTGGTAATCGCAATCGCTTCCCGGAGTGATAAGCGCGGATTTGAAATGTCAACGTGAGGCAAAGTTCCACCCTGACCCAACACTGGCTGTCTTTCCAGACTGGGATCGCAATTTTGTATAAAACACTTTCAAACATACAAAGCACATGAACCATTAAATTTTAATTGCGGTTTGTCGGTCAATCCTACGAATGGAAACATACTCATTTCATATACTCAGATCGTCTCAGCATCATCAGTCGTTGACTACAAAGTCATAAGTTCACATTGGAGGTTTAATCTTACATGGAGACTTCCATGGGTTATTTGGACTCCTGACACGGAAACGCCCATTCGTGGCGGATGTGCGCGTAGACGTGATAGAGACAACATTTATGTACCACAGTCATGTGTCATAGAGGAAGGCAATTTTGCAACTGTATCAATTGCTCATGCATTGGGACTGCTGTCGAATCACTCAGATAGACTCACACGCGAGTTGTGCATGAGGAGGTCGACTTAACTCACAGACACCGCAGTGATGCTTTGTGTACGGAAGTGTGAAAAACCTGCACATGAAAATTGGACGTATTTTGTATTACCGCAGACGAGTATTAGTATAGGTACGCATGCGCTGCTATCATGTGCGCGATTGCAATCTTCATTTGTGATATACGTTGGATGCGAAGAGGTTAAACATCTCTCTCAATTTCTACTTATTTTCCAAGGCGAAATCAGAATAGGGGTCATTAGATTTGCATGGATCACAGACATCAAATGAGCCATTGCCCTGCATCATTTCAATCTTCCTCTCACTGCTCTCTCTATTCCTTCTCAATCACCACCACTCGCCTTTTCTTGATCAGAATAAGTGACGTCATTGAAAGTGTACTTTTCCTTGAAGTTGCAAGATGTTCCACCCTGCTGCAAGAGACAGCTATGCTCAGTTGATTTGGCGTCACATGGGAAGCTGACAATGCACTAGTCTATGTAATCCTTCGCGCGGAGGCGGATCAGGTCAGCGAAATGACTGCAGAGGAGTGATGCACAAAGGTGCAACGTCAGCCAACCAAAGGGATGTATGGGATGCAATTAATTTTGAGGCTTCTAACCCTGCCATTTTATATTGAGGAGAAATACTACATCACGCACAATCAAACCTTGCACGCTCACATGTCCAAGCCGTTTTTCATTCGAATATATCCAAGCGTATAACGAGCAAATATCTACAATTCTATTCTGTTCACCTTGCCTCCAATTCCAAAATCTTTCAACAGAACAAGTGAAATTCGCTCCTGCACACATATTCATGAACAATTTTAATTATAAACAACGCATCCACGTTTTTCATCGCAAGTTCCACAACAGGATCTAAATTAAGTCAGACATCACAGCCTTAAGTGCATGGGCTCTTCAGAAACTCCCTTACTGCACTTATACTTATCCATTCAAATGTGTTGCATGTGATTGAGAACAAATTCAGATTTTGGAGGAGATACGGCCTCAGTGTTGGGTAATAGGAGGGTGAGTCACTACAAGCACCACCAACTACTCCTCATTGATGACAAGCCAACGATTTTCCAGTCTGTTGTGCAACAATGAGGTGTGCTGTGTCATTTCTCCCTCTGCATAAAAAGGAGGGCTACTGTCTAAGTGGTGATATGAATTTGTTGGTTTCATGCATTCAGCCAATGTATGATGCGTGGATGTCATTGGGAAAGTTTGTTCCCAGGAGTTGTTGATCGCAGCACTACATAGATGTGAGGAAGACAACTTGTAGACTAAAATGCCTTCCTTTTTTGAGCATTGTAGCATCGCCATGTTTGTAAAGCAGCGATTTGGCAGTGGAGAATGCAAAAGCCAAGTGATTGGACATGACTGTCCCCCTATGTTGGCATGAGTCGAGTTTCCCACGCACCAGCAATGCGCTTCTGTGTGACACGAACTGAGGAAGTGCATCTCAAGTGGTTGGGTTCAACGCGCCAACACACTTGGTTGGGTAGTGAAGCAGGTGTTTACAGTGAGCATGCAAATCAGCACCTCGATTTCTATAGGTTAAGTCAGCCCCTCCTCCACAAGCCTCGTGTAAGCCTGTCTAATTGACTTACATACGTATCAGCGCACTTGTGATTGGTAATGCTGCAAGATTTTTTTCTCCTATGACGCATGAATGTGGCACATGATTTGTTTTTGTCAAGCCTATGTGAACAGACGTCACATGATTCGAAGGAAAATCGTGTAAAAGCAGGCAGCCTGCAACATTCTACAATTATCCTCATCCACTCTCTCCAATCATGCATCATGGAAAGAGGAAATGAAAGAAGGAGGCAGTGGAGACAAATACCTCGTAGTTTTGAGCAAGGTAATCAATAAGATAAACACCTCGTTGACAAATAGCCGTGAGCAGTTGCTCTGACTGTCCATTGGGGTGGAGATGATTGGTCAGCTATCAAGGTCGTTCGCAGATTATATAGACACTGTTAAATGAGTGAATGGGCGAGTAAATGGAAAATGCAAAAGGTAGACATCATTTTGTGTTTTACTGACTACTTCATAGTGCCACTTTTGACTCCTACTGCCCCATTTGCGCACTCACCACACTCTCACTTGCCTCTCAGTTACCGCTTGCCTTGTCCTCATTGAAACATGTTTTGGCATTGGAACTGAACTAATTCGTCAAGTTGTAAGATTGTTTACTCTACTGCGAAAACGGCTATGTTGATATAGATCGGCGTCACATAGCGCCATGAGTGGCTCAAAAATCCTTATACTTCTTTTAACTGGGCAGATCAGATCACATTAAAGAATGAGTGCAGA